ATTATCTTCTGTTGTACTCTGTTTACTTGGTCGTTCATATGCTTTCTTTCCTAAACATATAGACATTGCATATTCGGAGCAAAGTTCATAGGATGTTGCAGAATACACATGATCATTCACAGACCTTTCTCTAGTACATGACCTTAAATGGGGATGGGACCCGACGGCCCTGCTTTTGTTTTGGACCTGCATGTGCAGTCATGTTCATCGTGACGTGATTTCATATCAATCTCGCCCTTGTTTCGCATATTTGCTTACGAGGTACAGCACAATCCTATCCTCAAGTTTTATATTTGCTCCATCAATGTCTAGATGGGTCCAATTGTTCAATTCCCATCCCAATCAATCATTATTTCATTGTGCATATCCTTCTAATCCAGGCTTCTTGTACTCTACACCCTCATTCTGTCATTTTTCCTTTGATAATCTTTTAACTATCTTAACTGTATACATATTATGGTTTGAATATTGAATTGCTGCAGATCACAACTAAACTTCCAGCCAGAAAACTAAGGCGGCGGCCTGCTGCTGGCTACATTTTCAGCACGTCCATCAAACCGGTCATCTTTAAACCGGTCATCTTTACAACAACACTTCACATGGGGTAAAGCTCTGCTAGTCAGACTGTCACAAAAGAGGTATTGTCCGCTTTGATCTATTACGTATTACTCTTAGTCTCATGGTTTTGAAAACACGTTTGCTAAGGAGAGGTTTCCACACCCTTATAAACAATGTTTTGTTCTCCTCTCCAACCGACGTGGGATCTCGGGCATAAACATATTGTAAAAGTAGGAAGGCAAGGAGGAAAACAGTGAGAGGGGAAAATGGTTAAAGTTATGGTAAAGTAAAAGTGGGAGATTTGAAGTAGTTGGGGTTGATTTGCCTTACTATGTTGTCTTCTTCAGAAAGAAGACTTGGGGACAAGAGTAACATGGCCTTCCATGTGCCAAACACAAGGAATAGTCCCTATCAAACTCTCTCAAAAAAATATATATATATTATATTCCTTTTACTCCATTGGCTCACCGGGTCACCGCATTTGGATGTGAACCATCGACCCTTTTGGCCTTTTCACTCTCTCTGTTCCCTGTTATTTTTCCTCTGTTTTTTCCACCATTCATTTCTTTTTCATGGAACATGGAGGAGTCCCTTTTATGACACTGACCCAAATTTTCTTTTCGTCCCATTTCTAGTTTAACGTGATATTAGAACAAGAGATGATTAGGAACCACAACCTTTCACAATAGTACATGATAATGTCCATTTTGAGCATAAACTCTCGTAGTTTGACCTCATATCAATAGAGATGTATTCGTTACGTATTAACTCATGATGTGGGACTCTGTCTCTTTGTCGAATCTTTATGACATCGTAATAGTAGTTCATACAAACATTTGATGCCGTGAATCGTTTTTTTTTTTCCTCTATCAAAACAAACCATATCTTTTATTTTATTTGGTTTAGGTATTGTTACAAAGTGATTGTTCTAAAAAGTACAAAAAGATTCTGTTTTTGTATTCTAGGTTTGGAAATATGGCCGTTATTCACGCAATCAACTGTCATAAGATGTTGGGAAAAAGCTTCTCTAAAGTAGCTTTTAAGGCCCCTAATTTTGAGGGGTTTTCTGTCTTTTCACAAGGGGTTACCCCTTTTTCCCTTTTGCTATCATTTTGATTGCTTTCTTATCAAACATAATCATACTCCTATAATAAAATTAAATAAAGTTATTTTAATATTTTATTTGATTTTTCTTTTTAAAAATTAAATTTAAAAATCAAAATTATTATCGAGAAAATGCTTGAAATTTTAATTCATGACTTTGAACTCGAGAACCAAAGTTACCAGCACTCCTACTATATCTTGACTAATCAGCTTTAATTTATGACGTGGATATTCCAAATCCACATGTCAAACATAAGACGGTTTTTTAATCTCGAACTATACAAATCCAACTTGTAACATCGTCCCTAAGGTTCGAATCACAACCGACATTATACAGAAAATATTATATATATATATATATATACATACATAGAGAGAGAGATGAAAGTATTGATAATATAGAGAGTGGGGATAAATGTCTTGTTGCAGGCTGTTCTGACTTAGTGGCTGTAGAGATTCAAGGACCACACCAAAAATAATAATAATAATAAATAATAATAACAATAAATAAATAAATAAATAAATAATTTCTGATTTACTTTATTTTATCACCAAACATTGCTCCCCCTTCTAATTAATGCGTAGGACATCACTATTTTATTATTCTTTTTTTTTTTTCTTTACCGAAAAAATAAATAAAATAAATAATATATATTTTCTACAAATTTATTGCATGTAAATAAATTTTATATTTTTCCTTTTTTTCCGCATAAAATATCTTCTCAAAAGGGGCCCACTTTTTTTTCCCTTTAAAATAAAAATACGAACGGGATAAATTAAGGGTGGAGTGTACAAATGGTTGGATAGCTCGAGTTTCCACATTTTTAACCTAATCTAACTGTTTTTTTTTTTTTTTTTTTTTACACAAACAAATTTTATTTGGATTTTTCTAGTTATTTATTCAATGTTAATATAAAAAATCTATTTATTTAATTATTTAATTATTTTATTATTTTATTAACCTTTACCGCTCAATTCCAATAAATATTTTGAAAAACTATATTTCAAAATGGAGAGTTGTTGAAAAATAGATAATTAAACAAAATAAAAATAATGTAACAATAAATTCAAGTCACCCTAGAGTTTTAACCTGAGTCTATCATCTTCGTTAGATGAATACGACGACTATTCACAATGGTATGATATTGTCTACTTTGAGCGTAAGCTCTCATAGCTTAGCTTTTAGCTTTCCAAAAAGTCTCATACCAATTAAGAGAGTATTTTTTTTATTATAAACTCATAATCATTCTCCGTCGACGTGTGCTTAATGATAATGTCATATTTCTTATCATATAGAGAGCCATCGTACTTTAAAAAATACATATAAAAATGTGACAATAATTTAAAATCTCAATTAGTAAAGTTATTTATTTATTATTATTATTATTTTTTTGGTATTTTTGAAGCAATATTACTTTTTTTCTCACTCAAGAAGTTTCAGCTTAAAATTATTTTCTTTGACATGTTTTACAAAAATTTAGTTATCATTAAAAAATTGCTCGTAAATTAATATTTGGAGCGATTAATTACAAAACCATATAGTAAAAAAAAAATATAATAATTTCGATAATTCCAATGTATTTGCATGAAAGATTGAGTAGAAGAAGATTTGTAATTGTAAAATAAATTAAAAATAAATAATAATAATAATAATAAATTAAGAATTATTAGAATCCCTACGTCCAAACAAACACTAAATTTCAAAACTTTCAACAGAATTTGTACTCCAACAGTACACTTCCCTTCTTCGTCCGTGATCTCACCAAATATATATATATATATATATTTATTTATTTATTTATTTATTTATTTATTTTACATTATAATATATTTTGAAAAATATTTATGAGTACCATTATTATATTTTATATTGATTTTTGAATTTTAGCTAATTATTATTTTTAATATTTTTACTTTTATAAAAATTGGTTTCGATTGGTAATTACGATAATTGTTTTGAATTTAATAAAAATATATGTTTTAATCTTGAATTCATTTTCATTTATATTATATATTTTAAATATATTTTATACAATTATTTATTTATTTTCCTCGAATTTTTAATAATCTAATAATTGAATGAGACAATTTTAATTTACTATCTTACCCTTTCTTTTCGACGTTTTCTTTTTTAAATTATTAACTATAATATTGAGATTAATCCGAAATTTTCATTAGAATGAATTTGGATTCAGTTCGTCAAACCCAAAATGATTTATTTCTATATAAGTAATGATGTTATTTCTCTTTTTTCCACCGTGGAATTATGGAAATATAAATTAATTTTTAATTTTTTAATTATAATTATCGGCTCTTTTAATTATTTCTTATTCATAATTTCATATTATCGTTATTACTCTCATTCGAATATTATTTTAGTTCATGTATATACCTTTCTTTTACTCAAATGTCTCCGTGTTTTATTTCTATCATTTAAAACAAATTCAAAATTTAACAGCAAAATATAAATTTATATTATTAATTTTTTTTATATAAAAAAATGTTGAATCCTACTATCAAACCCTACACTATTACACAAACACTTTATTAATGGAATGTTAAGTCGAGTTTAAAATCTATTCTATTTTTATATATTGTCGGTGTGAGATTCTACCCCTAGTAGATATTGTTCGTTTTGGTCCGTTACTTATCGTTGTCAACTTCATGATTTTAAAACACGTCTACTAAGAAGAGAAGTTTTCACACTCTTATGGAGAATGCTTCATTTCCCGCTATAATCAATGTGGGATCTCATAATCCACTCCCATCGGCCAATGTTTGGCTCTGATATCATTTATAACAACCTAAGTCCATCACTAGCCGATATTGTCTGAAGTTTTCACACTTTTATAAGAAATGTATCGTTCCACTCTCCAACCGGCGTGGGGTCTCACAAAAGGTGTGAAAACCTCTCCATAACAAACCCGTCTTCAGCTAAGGTGGGATCTCTTCAAGGATGTGAAAACTTTTCTCTAACTGACACGTTTTAATACCGTGAGACTAACAATGATACATAACGATCTAAAGCAAACAATATTTTTTAGTGGTGAGTTTGGGCTGTTACAGTCGATATAAAATAATTAGCCACATTATTTGGGTGTTTTCGGGGTTAAAAGGTAATAAATGGTTAGGTTGATTAAGTATTGAACACTATGTGGGGGTCCAAGTTGCCATTGGGAGAGCCAACATCCAAAGCAAAAGTAGACCCATCTGGTTTTTGGCTCCCACCATCTCATAGGACACATTACCCAACACTCTCATGGCCTGTCCTTCACTCCTTTCCTCTCATCCCCTAAACACAAACCCTTTATTCCTTAATAAATACCCCTTCCTCCACACACCATCCCTTCAACTCCATTTTTTTCTCCTCCCTCCAAGCCCTACAGGAGATTTCTTCCCATTTCCCACACTCAAAAACACCAACACAATGGCCATCCAAAAGCTAAACAAACTCCCCCAATCCACCGTCCTCAAGCAAATCCTCAAACGCTGCTCGAGCCTCGGTCGAAAGACCAACAACGCTTGTGCCTACGATGCCGATGACGACCTCCCCCTCGATGTCCCCAAGGGTCATTTCGCTGTCTACGTCGGCGAAAACCGTAGCCGATTCATCGTCCCTATCTCTGTCCTTACTCACCCTGAATTCCAATGCTTACTCCGTCAAGCAGAAGAAGAATTCGGATTCGACCACTACATGGGTCTCACCATCCCTTGTCAAGAACACGTCTTCAGATCCTTAACATCCTCCATGCTTCGATGAACAACCCCGTCGTTCCGAAACGTTATATGATCTCGAGCTCTTTTCTTCATCATTTGATCGAATTTTCATGAAAACAAGAATTTACAAGAATTTGAAGATGGTCAAATAAGAGAGATAGCTCTATTTCTCTTATTTTTTTATACATCTTCTTTTTCACTTTCTTTTTCATGGATTTCTTCATCATTATTATTATTTTTTTTCTTTCTTTTTTTTTTTGACTTCTCTAACTTAGTATCCAATTTTCAACCCAAGATCTCAAAAGGGTTGAGAAGAAAAAAAAAAAATATTATCTCTTTGTAAAAATAGCCAATGTTCCCTCGTTGAGGTGATTATATTTTACACCTTTTGAGCGGTTTCTTTTTAATGAAAAAAATGCATGAATTATTATTATTATTATTCTCATGTCAACATCAGCATAACTCAATATTATATTAAAATTAAAAAAAATTATATATACATTATTTAAAAAAAATAAATATCCAAATGGGCAGCTAGTTGAAGAAGTTTGGTCAAAGAATATTTGAAGGTACATTTTTAAGAATTATGTGTACGGAATCTTTAAGAATATTATTAGATTCTTAATCTTAAAAAAAAACATTATTGTCATTTAAGAAAATGTGTTTTTTTTTTTCTTTTCTTTCTTTTTGTTCTTAGTGTAATGAACATTATTTTGTGCATGTGAATCTTCAATCTAACTGATCTCTAAAGCAAAGATTCATTTTTTTTTTTTTCTAAAAATGGAAATTTTAATTGTTATTTATATTTAATTATTTATGTCTACAATTCATATGTTGATACAGATTTCTAAAATACCATTTTGATCATGTAGTGTGCCACTGGGTACATGAATTGTAACAACACAAGATATTGTCTGTTTTTGCTTTTACGTATCGTCGTCAATCTTACGGTTTTAAAACGCGTCTACTAAGGAAAGATTTTTACACTCTTATTAGGAGTGATTCGTTTCTCTCTTCAATCGATGTGGGATCTCACATGAACTGAGGCTACATCCTAATCAGAGAGATCCTAAAGATAGAATCACTAAAAAAATGCTTAAAGAAAATTAAAGTTATTACCTATACCAACAAAGTGCATCTTCCTTGTCGGTGGCTCAATCATAGGAACTCCATAGTTAAGCGTACTTTACATGGTCAAACATGCTAAAAGAACTCGTAGGAAAATATCGGGGTCATAAATTATATATATATATATATATATATATATATATATATATATATATATATATATATATATAATTTTAAAAAGTTATAAATAAATTGTTAATTCGATTAAACATCAAATTTAAATTTATATAAATAATTAATGTTTAGTGGCAAAAATAAATTTAAAAAAAAAAACATAGACTAAATAATATTTTAATTACTAATAATTCAATCAGAAGGCAACATTTTTATTCATTTCTATTAAAAAAAAAAAAAAAAAAAAGTAAATTTTGTTGTGGTTGGATTGGATCATATACTTTTGCATGTGACACCATTGTCGGGTCATATTCATTCTATAAAATATAAAAAGTTTTTTTTCCAAATTTTATTTATTTATTTTTCTTGGTTTTATTTTTTATAGTAATTTAGTTGACTTTTTCTTAAACAGTCGATTGAACTACGAGTGCCGATGTATTTTAATTAATTAAATTATTTTCGATTTTATATTTAATAAATCTTCTATTCGACAGTTTTTTAAATTTAAATTCATAAATTTAAATTTTATATTTATATTTAATAAATTAATTCTTATTTTTTTAATAATTACAAGACTAAATACATACAAATTTATTAAATTTGTAATTTAATAATAATAATAATAATAATAATAATAATAATAATTTATGCAAGGATAAAATTTTTATTTATTAAATAGCAAATTGCTAAAAATTCCTCACACGAAGGATCGTTTTCCAAAGCATGGGTAATCACTCCCTTTCATTATCCATCTCCTTAATGGAGAAATTAATCAAAATGAATTTCATTAATATTTTTAAATTTTAAAAATATTAAAAAATTTAAAATAGTATTAATGAAACTTGGGTATAAAAGTTTAATATTTTTTAAAATTTTTGAAAATTTAATATTTTTTTAGATTTGAATATTTCAATTATATATATATATATATAAAAGATGTTGTTTTCAAAGCAATAAAGTGAGATGAATCTCTCTAATTTATTGTTGATATGAATCCTTTTTATGTGATTGGATGTGTGCATTTGATAATCCCAAAATTTTGAGCTTTGAAGAATGGGAAATTTAAGGGTTTGGATTGGATCCTTTTTGTGTTGGAGATCTATTAGTGATGGGTTCCAAGCGTTTAAATCAATTATTAGATCGAAAACTTTTGATATTAATATTTAATTCTACGTGAGTTGGATTAATGGTCGGGTATAATTTTGTGACATGTCACGATCGTATAAAAGAGGGTCATAAGAATAGACTGATACCACATCTGAATGAGAGTAATAGTAAACATACGTCATGATCGAGAAAAAATTATTTATACCAACAAAGAGCATCTTTCTTTTTCCACACTCTTATAATGAACGTTTTGTTCCCCTCTCCGACCAATGTGGGATCTCACAATTCACCCGCCCTTAAGGACTCAACGTCCTTGCTGACATACTGTTTGGTGTCTGGCTCTAATACCATTTGTAATTGTTCAAGCTCATCGCTAGTAGATATTGTCTGTTTTGACCTGTTATGCATCGTCATCAGCCTTACGATTTTAAAATTCTGATCTGAATCTTGGGTATATACCATTAGAGAGTAATTCAAAATATATAATTACGAAAATAAAAATTTTGAAAGATCGACTAAATTCAAGCATTTTGGAATAACATATATAGTTATGTGGTAGGGCAAGTCTAAAAGTGTCGGTTTCAAACGCATATATTCCCTACCTGTCTTTAAAGCGATTATTTATAAATCTACAAACTAAACGTCGATTCAGTCTTACAACTCGGGACTATACACAAAACTCAACTCATCGACCGAGTGAAGGTCATAAAGGTCCAAAAGTGGCATAAATCTCGAGCACAATTTGGCGAAACATAAACGATAGAAGTACTTAGAACACTTTTTCCTTAAGATTTGTTAAAAATGGGTTATACAAAGCTGGCATTGCTTGCCCTTTTACCCTTTTTTCTTTTCAAGTTTCTACCTTTTTGTCCACCATTCAATCTCTCCCATTGCTTTGTGTATGTGTGGTTTGTTTTATAACTAAAGTGGACCAAAAAATAAGTGAAGAGAAAAGAGGATAATGAAGGGGAAAGAAAGGCTGCCATAGTTGGAAAAATGGTCCCTTTTTTGCATATTAAATGCATCTTCTTTGCTTTATTTTTGGTTTGGTTTGGTTTGTAGCCATAGATTGTACTGATATTATCGTCTCGTTTGAGATCACATCGATTGGAGAGGAGAATGAATCATTTCTTATAAAGGTTTGGAAATCTCTCCCTAACATACGCGTTTTAAAACCTTAAGTGAAAGCTCGGAAGGGAAATCCCAAAAAAGACAATATTTGCTCGTATTGGGTTTGAGCTGTTCAAATGGTATTTATTAGAGTTAGACATTGAGTGGTGTGCCAGCTAGGACGTTGGGCTCCCAAGAGGGTGGATTATATACGATCTCACCTTAGTTTGAGAGAAGTGAGTTTGGGATGTTACAAATGATATTAGAGTCAAGATGCCGAGCGATGTGTTAGTGAGGATCTAGGATTCCAAGGGGATGAATTATGAGATCTCACATTGGGTGGAGAGAAGTGGGTTTGAGCTATTACAAATGATATCAGAACTAGACATCGAACGTTGTGCCAGCGAGGATGCTTGGCTCCCCTCGCTGGGCTCCCAAGGGGGTGGATTATGAGATCTCACATCGGGTGGAGAGAAGTAGGTTTGAACAATTACAAATGGTATCATAAACTAGACACCGAGCAGTGTGTCAATGAAGATGTTTGGCTCCCATATGAGATCTCACATCGATTAGAGAAAAGAACGAATCTTCCCTTATAAGGGTTGGAAAACGCATCAACGAAGCCTCCCTTATAAGGGTGTGGAAAACGTGTCATAACAGACACGTTTTAAAACCTTGAGAGGAAACATGAAATAGAAAGTAAAAAAAGACCGTATCTTCAAATATAAGTTGGTTTCTAATCTTTAAAGTTGATTCAAATAAGTCTCGGTAAACAAATTTAGTATTAGTGTTATATCACAAAAATCGACTTAGTTTTTCAATTCATGACCAAGTCAAGTACCGATAACTACTAGCACAACATTTTTTGTTCGTTTTCTTGTTTAACTCATCCCACACTTCAACCATGGTCGTGTGTAAGTAGCTCGTAGTACCTTTTTCACTTTTTGAGTCACAGTTTTACTTACCGAAGACAGCCACTAAACCTAAAACATTTAGTTCTCAAGAAAATCATATATAATTTTAATATTCTATACCTCGGACGGAAGTCATCGACTCATTACGGGGTATCTTTCAAAAGTCTCTCTTATATTCGTTCTTCACCGGTTGTAACAATCACGATATCAAATTAGGGTTATTTTTAGCGCAAAAAAAAATATTAATAATTATTTTAATGGGTAATATTTAATAATTTGATGCCCCTACCAAATTAAAGAAATAATAGAGCCCACACTTTAGGAGAAACACAAAGGACTATGAATTGAAATCCAACTACACAATATTTCATAAATTTAATTTTGGGTTCGATTAATTATTGCAAAAAAACAAAGTCATTATCTTTCAATCAATTTCAAAAAAAAAAAAAAAAAAAAAAAAATCATGATCAAGTTGACTAATAAACTATTTTAAAAAAATTATTGCCGTAAAGTCGTCCAATTCAAGTATACATCAACGTCGTGTTGATGATATGTTCATTAATGTGTTCGTATATTGGTATGTCGTCACCTGACACACCATTTTTAACTAACTCTAAACCTTAGTTGAGGCGGAGAATGTCACGATCGTGTATAGTTAATTATGTCGTCCATGTGAAGACTGAGAAATTTGTACCTACTTTCTCGTATCAGTGCCTATATACACAAATCAAATGAAACTATATAATCTTTTTATAAAGATCTAAAGTTTTTTTTTTTTTTAAAAAAAAACATCAGATCTTGATAGGGTTTGGATCATAAAAAAAAAACATGTTCTAGATAAGAAAACAATTTTTTTTAATAAATGATAGTCGAGATTTACTATAAAATCCCGCGTTAGTTTGAGAGGAGAACGAAGCATTTCTTAGAAGCTTGTGAAAGATTCTTTCTAATAGATGTGTTTTAAAAATCGTGAGATAGACGACGATATGTAATAGACTAAAATGGATAATATTTATCGATGATTATAAATATATTATGGAATTATTTGTTTCATCAAAAATGGAAAATTAAGAGGTTAAAATTTTAATGTAGAATATATATATATTTTTTAAAAAGTAGTAAATATATATATATATATATATATATATATATATATATATATATATATATATATATATATATAAATAAATAAATAAAAATATTCCATACTATGAAAACGCGTGGAAGGGCGAAGGAATGGGGCTGTGATCGATATCTACGGTGGGGGACGACATGTCGGGATCATATCTAAGGAAATATTACTTTGGAGTAAGACTTTGTCGGGTTTTATTATTTTTATTTTTATTAATTTCTTCATTTCATTTTCAAACCATTTTCATTCTCCCTTTCCAACCTCAAATTCTCAACAAACAAAATTCAAAGAATAATAATAATAATAATAAGAAAAACCCATAAAATGAATTTTTTTTTTTTCTTTCCAATTTTGTCATTTTCTAAATTCCAATTATCTATTTATTATCTTTATTTTTTTTAATTAAAAAAATATAAAAATTTGAGTGGCGAATTAATTTAAAAGAGACAAAACGCTTCAAACCCAGAATTTTGAATCTAAATTTAACACATGATAGTTTCGATATTTCACTACAATTATATTACTTACATGACAAACTGTTATCATAAATTAATACAGATGACTATGTATGATTAGAAGCTTATAATAATTTTGGCATATCTGTATTATATTATAATAAAATATAATAAAATAGAAACGGAAAAGACAATAATGAAACTGTTTGGTTTTATATTAATAAAAAAAACGTATAACATTCACATGTGAATGTCACATGCATAATACTATAGTACAAATATTCAAATATATTATCAAAATTCGAGAAAATAATAATAATAATAAATACTTGAAAATTGGAACAAAGTAAATAATAATAATAATAATAATAATTAATTTGGAAGTTAATTAAATAAGATTTACACTGACATTTTTAAAAATACTAATGTTTCTTAAAAAAAAATAATTATTTGGTGTTATATATATATATATATATATATATATATATATATATATATATTCTTTAAGGCAAATTGGAGTTAGCGGTCAAGTTGGTCACGTGGCAAGTTGCAGAAGCAACGTCGCTTTCAAATGGCTACCCGATTTTGGTTTCTCCAAATTGCCACAGATCCAAATATTCGCTCTTTTTTTCCTTTTTGTTTTTCCCAAATAATTAAATATGTAAATAAATAAATAAATAATAGCTTTTTGTGCAGAAAAAGGCAAAAGGGCTGGGGGCATTATCGTCTTTTAACTAAATGGCAAGAGTACAAAATCTGTACTGTTATAGGACGGGCCCACTTATGAATTCATGATACCATCACCTGTCTGTCATTTGCTGATTGTAACGATGCTACGTGTACGGTCCTTAACGTTAGAGATCCTGACCGTTGAATTGGCTATTGTTGGATTCTTTGTGTTGTCGTTCTTCGAAGGCCCAATGGGCTTGTTTATGAAATTGGGCCTTAAAATGAGTTTTTGAATTTATGTAATTTATTTTCTTATTTTTCGTGTAATTCTTTTTCATTATTATCATATATATATATATCTAATTATTATTATTTTTAATATCTTTTCTATCCCTTCTTTTATTTTTTAAAAAGTATTATATTATTTTAAATTACAAAATACTAAAAAAACATATTAGCTCGGTCTTACGTGTTGGCTTAAGTATATATAACTCAGTTAATTAAAATATATCATCAACTAAAAAATAAAAAAAAAATTGAATCTTTGTCCAGTTTACATATGGTTGATATAACAACCCTAAATTTCTATTTATCATAAAATCGCTACCATATACATATCATAACCATTTTGTACGAAAATAATCATTCAAAACTTTATCATAATTCAACATCGGTTCAACACCAGAAACCCTGCACCCTCGACCCAGACATATGCAACAACCTAGTAACCACTTGGCCTCGTTACAAAACACGACCCATCAAACGCACGCCCAGAAACGCGATTTACAACCCGCACGCGTACAGTAGCTAACCTGACAACCTACGCCTCGACCCATGGGAGCCTTACCTTTACTTGAAAAATAAGAGTAACACATGACTTGAGTATTTTAAGAAAAGAAAAGTGACCCCGTTATGGGAGTTACTTCTCGTTCCATATTTTCTTAAAAAAAGATATTTATAAAATATCGATTTCGAAAAAGATATTTTAAAAAACCCGATCTTAATGACAAATATTTAGTATCATCGTTTTAATTTCAAAGAAATGGGTTTAGTTTGATACATAGAGTGGTTTACATCTCCTATGCAACTTGTGATTGAATACTACTTTATGTAACATCCAACAAGTGGAAACTAATTAAATTCAACCCTCTCATGTTCCATTCTCGTTCGTTATTGGTTGTTAGACTAAATATTCTCATTCTAAATAAATATTTAATTACATGTCGGGTGGAAATTCCCCGATGTAATCGTGGTTGACAACACTATCCACTTTACTTGTATCGAGACTTCTCGACATAGTCTAAAAGTAAGAAGTCTAAAAGAAACGTTGGAGATATGAACGAATATATAATCTTGCATTCATTCAAAAGCTAAACCGGAATTTTTCTCTCGAGTGATCATAACCCGAATAGTCAAATAGTAAATAAGTTTGATTGGTAAGTAAATTTTTTTATAGATTTATCTCGTATTTAATTTTATGATATTTATTTTATATGAAATTTAATATACATAAATTATATAAAAATATTAATTTGTATAAAATAAAATTCAACTATAATCCATTATTATGAATTAAAAAGCACCAATTGGCTAGATGGTAGCCTGTTTTGGATAAAAATATGAGACTTTTTTCAAGACAAATCACTCTCAATTTATTTATTTATTTATTTATTTATTTATTTATTTATTTATTTATTATTTTTATTTTTGAGACACTCAAATCAATTGTCTACTTTCCATTATATATAAAAATAAAAAAAATAAAAAATCAATTTTGTTATATTTTTTTTTTCCACAAAAACATTATTGTTTTTTAAATTTGGTTCATTTTGGTATTAAATGGATCTTGAAATTTTTATAATTATAAAAGAACAATATAACCGAATGATGTGAGTTTTTTGGTATTAATAAAATAAAAAAAGAAATAAATTTCTACTAAAATAAAAATGAAAAATGAAAAAGATTTTGTCGGGTGCTGAAATTATTAATAAAGAAAGTTGATGAATGTCAACATGAGTGTCGCTCAACAGTAATTGACTGTGAAATACCACATCGGTTAGAGAAGAAAACGAAGCATTTTTTACATGGGTGTGGAAATCTCTCCCTTAAAATCGTGAGACTGACGATAATATTCATTAGCAGTGGGTTTTGGTGGTAACAAATGGTATACGAGCTAGACACTAGATGGTGTGGTAATAAGGACGCTAGACCTCCAAAGGGGTGGATTGTGAAATCTCACTGCCCAATAACATCTCTTATTAGGGCGTGGAAATCTCTCCTTAATATATGTGTTTTAAAACAGTGAGACTGACGATGATATATAACGGGTTAAAGCGAACAAGGGCTTCGACTGTTATATTGACGTGTAATTCTTTGTTTTTAGAGATTCAAAATTCTATTTTTGACGAGAATAGGAACAGTGCAATTTGGAAGCCATCTATAAAGACCAAAATGAATATTATACCGATAAAATGATAGTGACATCATTCAAAAGTCGTTACCTAAAATGAGGTAATTTATATAACTTAGAAGTCCCAAAATGTAAATTCCAATATCTTAAGGTCCTTACTAAGCAAATTTTGAAGTGTCAACATTAAACCCATTTCAAAGTGGAAGTCAACTTATTGTTTATCTTTAAGTCAACTAATGGAAAAAGGGATACTTGTGTAATAATGATAAAATAGAAGGGTAGAATTACAAATAATAGTAAATGTATAGACACATATTTAACATTTTTTTAAAACTTATGAATTTATTATACATTAAATTCAATTTATATATGATACATCTCTTAATATTTAAATTTTTAAATATGTTAATATTTTAATATCGAGAGAATTAGCGGCTGAGTAGTAGATTTTTAAGATTCAGTGTCAACTATGCTATAATATATTGTTCGTGAAGAACACTATGAAACAGTGCAAAGAGTTAAACAAGTCTTATAACGTTATAAAAAACTACATGACGTTATAGCTATTCTTAAGGATTATGAATTATTTGAAGTGGGTCATTTAACCATAGCACGAGCACGAAAAGTTAAAGCATTTTTTGTTACGAACTCTTTCTGTAACTGAAGTATTTATTGGTTCTCCAGAGACATGAAACACTGTGGATTTCAATAGAAGCCACTTGTTGTTCGTCATTGATCGTCGTTGTTTTCTTTTTTTGGTTTTGTTACTTTCGACTTTAGTTTATTTGGTCTCTCTACTCCTTTTAAAAAAGAGACCATTTTAGTCTTTGTTTTCGTTTCTATTTCTTTTTAAGGAACCAAAATGAATTACAATTGAAAGAACCTTAACGAAAGCTAAAAGTACATTATAAAACTAATATTTATCCTTAATTTTTTCAATGAAATGAAAATAGTAATTATTATTATTATTATTATTATTATTATACGTAGGAGTTTAATTTGAATTTCTGACCTCTCGATCAAAAATATATATTTAAATCAGGTAAAATCTGATATGAACCGACTCAATCATTGTTATTATTGGTTCTCCAGCTAGATTACTCATTAGAAAGAAGACTAAAACATACTTTATTATATGTTTTTTTGTCATGGGGTTGCCGTGATTTAAGGCCTAATCTCATTAGGTTAAAAAAATTTAATTTTTTTCTTGCTAATTTTATATTTCAAAAACTAATTGCAAAATTTTCATTTTTTTTTTAGAGTTACTCGAATCTCATTAAAATATATATATATATATATATACATATTAATTATCGTTGAGTTATGTTCACATCGGTTAAATTACCGTTATCATATATCAAATATATTCGTAACTTATTGTTCAGATATGAAGTGGGATCGAATCTCTAATTTATTGATTGTACAGTTGAACTATGTTTAAATTGGTCTATATTAAATATTTATAGATTATAAAGTTGGGTAAATTTTTTTAATTAAATATAATTAATGGAAATATTATTTAGAATGATAAAAGATAAAGAACAAAAGTAATTGTCCAACATATTTTTACTTAAAGAAAAGAAAAGGAAGTGAATGATTAATCAAAATAATGTTATATGCTATGGTGGGTGGAATCATTTTGATTAGACAAATATATTAACATAGATTTTTCCACTTTAGACCAACCTTTAATGTGATGTCACATGTAATTAAGTTTTATTCACGGCTCTTTTCGATAATTATTTTATTTTATTTTACTTTTACTCCTAATTTTCTTGTTCGGTTCTAAAACTTTTTAAATAACAAACCAAATTTTTTTAAAAAAAATTGAAAACTTAATTTTGTTTCCAAATTAATTTGATTTCATAATTAAAATTGGTTCATTGAAGGGTAATAGTTCTTTTTTCATTAGGAGTGATTAAAAAAATTAATTTAGACATTTTATCGAGTCAATTTCAACTTATTAAGCGTGGACCCTAATTAATAGCAATCGACAAGAAAAATCTTCAAGAAAAAAAATTGTGAGGATTTTTTTTTTAATAAAAAAAAAAAGGTGAATTAAGAGATGATATTGATTCACCACTTAGTGAAGTTCATGATTGTTTGAGGGAGCAAAAAAAGAAGAAAAAAAAGGAAAAAATGATTGTTTGGTAAAGTTCATAAGAAAAAGAAATTGCAATTATTATGAACCATTTTTTAAGGTTGCTATTGTAAGCAAAGAATGCTTTAATTTTTCACTTTTTCTTCTAAAGTGAAAAAGAGACTCTATGTTGACTTTAATACCCACTTGTCTCTTCTTATTTAAATCTCTTTAATTATACATTAATTATTGTTAATATGATTGATTATGAATTTCACTCCTCAATAGAAAATTGAAATAATCAATAAACATTAATTGTATGAATCACATCAATCCACCTAAATTAAACAAAACTCAAATGGTATAAGTTTACTGGATCAAATGTAAATTTCTTTTTGAAAGTTTGTGGTTCGATCTGTGACAGACGATTTTGACCTATAATCTTGATCACTTTGGCCATTTTTTATCACATACAAATTAGAACTATTCTATCAATGAACACTAAAAAAGGATTTTAAGCACAAATGCACAGCGCAGTATATACATATATTTGTCTGCAATTTTCTACGCAAAAAGTAAATGGAGGCCTCATTAAGGCATTTACAGGCTCTGATTCTTAGCAGACTGACTCGCTAAAGCAACCGTTAAAGCCCGTCGGGCCGTCTCTCTGGCCGAATCTGACCAGAGGAGGACCGTAGCTTCGGTATGATCCGAATATTACCAGTGTGATATTTGTTAGCACAAAAGGAAAAAAAAACTTATCGACTTACCGGAACTAGATTCAGCGATTTCCGAGTCGAATCCGCGGCGATTCAGCCACTCGAACGCTTCAACTATCAGCGAATCCGTACAGTAAAGGTCTCGATTCGCCTAAATACTCGAGGTTTTTTCTGACATCTTTATCGCATCGCCTCTGTAAATCCTTGATACTCGAACTTCGCGACGAGTTATTCAACTCGGAGCGAGCAATGACTCGGATAACCTCTTCGAAGACCGATTCGTCGCACGGAAGCGCCAGAGGACCTCGCGTAGCGAAGCCGTATTCCTCTTCAGCCTGTGAGAGCAACTTCCGGAAGATCGGATGGTTCAAGAAGGACGCACGGACGATGAATCGCCGACAGCCGCTGCCAACGCATACGGCAACGTGATCAGCGGGGACATCAGGCGGCGGTGCTCTGGAGGCCGCTGCTCGTGCCTTCTTGCGCCAGTGTTGTAACATTTGTCGGAGCCGGACAATGCTCCGGATCTTGTTGCTTTTCGCCATCACCGACGACATTTTTGTTTTCTCCGGTGAAGGTTGCAGAGGGAGAGCGTGATTGAAAGAGAACGATAGCCCTTAGCGCAGTATGTTGCGGGGATGTATCATACAAGATTCGAAGCCTTAATAAGTACCAGTGTACCAAATTACCCTTCACATTCAACATATTTACTATAATATTTTTTTCTTTATTTTAAATTATAAATTTAGTTTTTAAACCTTATTTTAAACCATTTAACATTTTTCTCGGGAATTTTTTTAACAATATTTAAACCATAAATCCATAAATAAATCAATTTCCGTTATTTGTTAAAATTAGTAATTTTTGGATATTTTTATTTTATTTTATTTTAAAAATCACTTAAATAAAATTATTCTTACTAATTATTAATTTAAAATTTTAATGAATGTAATTTAGTTATCATTTATTATTTTATACAATAAAGTTGGTCCCATAATATTTGAAATTTTTGGATAAATATGTCCATATAAAATTAATTTAATGTCATAAGCATCCTTTTCTTTTTATAAGATATGATTTAAATAATATCATTCTATATCTCAAACCATACTCTCAAAATAGAAGTCATGTGGCTCATGTGGTGACAATTAACCAAAATTTAATTTATTCGTTTTGACTTGTTACATATCACCGTCAGTCTAAAAATTTTAAAACGCGTCTAGTAGGGAGAGGTTTTCGCACTCTGTTTGGCCCATTATGTATAGTATGGTTTTAAAATAGGTCTATTAGAGAGAGATTTCACATTCTTATAAGAAATGTTTTGTTCTCCTCTCCAACTTATGTGGATCTTAAAATCCACTCCCTTGGGAGGCCTAGCGTTCTCGCTAGACACTATCTGGTGTCTGGCTCTAATACTATTTGTAACGGCTTAAACCCACTACCTAGCATCTACTAGGTTTCCACACTCTTACAAGGCTTTTGCTTGTTACGTAGTCTAACGTGTCTACTAGGGAGAGGTTTCCACACCCTTATGCATGCGTCTACTAAGGAGAGGGTTTCCACACCCTTACAAGTCGTCATCAACCCCACGTTTTTAAAATGCATCTAATAGGGAGAAGTTTTCACACTAGAATGTTTCGTTCTCTTTTCCAACCAATGTGAGATCTCACAACTAAAAATTTCTCCGGTCACAAATAGTTCTCCAACTGAAAAAATTCATATATTATGGTAACATCGGTATTACTCTCGGTAACTGGTTGCCACATCAGCGTGATTGTATGATATGGTCCAACAATATTAAATAATTACTTGAAATATAGATGGAAATATTGATAGTAAAATGGTAATTAGTTGAAATTTTACCAAAATTAGAGAATAACCCATAATTTAATTTCTTTAATTTTCTAAATTGTGGAAATATTATAAAATTTTGTAGAAATTCTACTCGACAACTATAAATAAAGAACGTTACGTGACAGCCGAGTAAAAGAGATGTATATGAATGAACAGAGACCATATCTGAATGAGAGTGATTTTAAAAATATGATAGTTACGAAATACTTAAAAAATTATAAGTGTATCTGTAAACTTTAAATTTTAAGCGTGTCTTGTTGTGAGTAATTCTACATTAGGTGCTCTTTTAGGAATTTTTGTAGGAATCATGTAAGTGAACACAAAATAATGACTCGTGTTGGTTGAAGAGAGAGAGGAACAAAACATTCTTTAGAAGCGTATGGAAACCTCTATCTAATAGACAGTGTTTTAAAATCATGAGGATGACGACGATACGTAACGGGTCAAAGCATATAAGCGAATAATATCTACTAGCAGTGGGCTTTGAGCTCTTACAAATGGTATCAGAGCTAGGTATTGAGCGGTTGTTTGCTCCTAAGGGGGTGGATTGTGCGATCTTACATCCGTTGGAGAAAAAACACGAATGTGCATTCCTTATAAGAGTGTGGAAACTTCTCCCTAACACATGCGTTTTAAAATCGTGAGGTTGACGGCGAGAGGATGTTGGCTTCCAAGAGGGGTGAATTGTGAGATTCCACATTAGTTGGAGAGGAGAACGAACCCGCATTGAGTGTAGAAACCTCTACCTAACATATGTCTTTTAAAACCGTGAGACTAACGGCGATACGTAATGGAAACTTAAAACTGTAAGGCCAACGGTAACATATACATTTTAAAATCACGAGGCTGCCGGTATCATATGTATTTTAAAATCGTAACAAACATAACTTAATAAAAAGGTTTTAAAATTATGAGATTGATTATGACACATATGGAACCTTTCTGGTCTCTGGTTGGTGTAAGACAACAGAAATTGGGATTTCTTTTGATATGGGCCTTACGAACTCCATCGTCATTGTTTGTCCAAGGCCGGTAATGAGAGGCGCAACCATATGGTGTATGGCCAATTCACGGAGGTTTAAAATGGATCCCGGCAGATTCAGAAGTGTTGCAGCACGCCATTCTTCCCGAGGCCTCTTCGGGAGCGGATAAATATCTCTCGTCTCTCACCTCCATCACCGATGTCGAAATCTCCGGCGACTTGCAGGTATTTTGAGAGATTGTTCAAATTGAAGAGCTAGGCAGGGTTACTTTTTGCTGTTCTTGCGATGTTCTGTAGTGCGTAACAGAATTAGGTTTTGTTTTCCTTTTGTGCTCTTTTTGCCCTGAAATTGTAGTTACATTATGGAACTGAGAAAGAATTGAAGCAAAGGACTAAAACCTAAAGGGAATGATTGAATATTTACGCTATACCCAAGCGCTTCATTTGTTGAAGATAAGGGATCCTATGGAATTTTGACTTCTTAAATTGCTACACAATTCAATTGCTGGTTGTATCTTGGGCTGTGTTTATACTCTGTTTTAGCCACTAGGAAATGATTAGGAGGCTTCAGAAGCCCATTTGCAAATGCTTGGTTGACATTTTCTTTGAAGCACAATTGAAGAAGTATTCAAAATTTTAGCTCGAGGATTAGACTCTTGGGGAGATATTGAAATTGAAGAGAGCTCTTGAGGAAGGCTAGAAAATTAGGAGAAATATGTTGTACTAGCCCAAGCCCACCATGGAGAAGTATGTTATAAGAACTCAAGCCCACCCCTAGCAGATATTTTCCTCTTTGGGATTCTCCTTTCAGGCTTTCCCTCAAGGTTGGAAGTTTCCACACCTTTGTAAGGCCTATTGAGAATTGTTGGGAGAGATCATGGGTTGATAAGTTAGGAGGACATCTCCTTTGGTATGAGGCTTTTTGGGGAAACCAAAAGCAAAGTCACGAGAGCTTATGTTCAAAGTGGACAATATCATACCATTGTGGAGATTTGTGATTCCTAACAAGGCTAACCAATATACCCTTACAAAGAATGTTTCGTTCTCCTTTCCAACCAATGTGGGATCTCACAATCCACCTATCTACTAGGGAGAGGTTTCCACACCCTTATAAGGAATGTTTTGTTCCTCTCTCCAACCAATGTGGGATCTCATATACGTGCTAGGACGACAATGCTTTTGGAGGAATGTCTGAGAAGTTATGCTGACATCAACCACTGGGTAAACCATTGCTTCTCAATCTGGGACTAATTCTACTGTAGAGACAAATAAAAAAAGTTCATTGATTTCCTTTTTCATAAAGCAACTAATCCTGATCAATTGTGCTTTTGAACTTAAAGTGGCAGCTGCATAAATGGTGGTTATGTTTTTTTATTGATGTTTGAACATTGTGTGAGCTGAGCTGCATATAGCTTAGGACTTTCCTCTTTGTCTTACTATAATTCAAAATATTTCCTTCACTTAGCTTCAAATATGGATATGTTAAGTGCAATACAAACTCTTTGGTCTTCTCTGAGCCATGACTGAGATGTTTAGTGGTTTGCTCTTTTTGCTCGACTGTAGTAAGCCTCCTGACTTTCAATCATGCCCAGAAATCAGTTTTCTTGCTCTCCATTGCTTGTCGTCGTCGATGTGAAATGCAACATAGAGATTTTTTCGTAAAAGAGTGAACAATACAATATACCTTTTTAATATTGTGAAATTTTGAGTACTATGAAGGTCCAACCTTACTTTTGCCATTTAACTCTTCACCTTCTCTGGATTGTCTTGAGTAATAAGGGTCTTAGCTATGCTCACTTTCGTGTCTCTAACCATAAAACTTCAGTGTAAAATTTTTGTTATCTTCTAAGCTCACCATGGGGTGGGCAAAGTAGCTCACGATTAGTGAATTTGGGTTTAACAGCCCAAGCACACTGCTAATAGATATAATCTATTTTGGCCCATTACGTATCTCGTCAGCCTCACGGTTTTAAAGCGCGCCTGCTAGGGAGATGTTTCCATACCCTTATAAGGAATGTTTTGTTCTCCTCTCCAACTGATATGAGATCTCACAATTCACTCCCTTTGGGGGTTCAACGTCCTCGTTGGCACACTGCCCAGTGTTTGGCTCTGATATAAATTGTAACAGTCAAAGCCCACCGCTAACATATATTGTCTGTTTTGGTCCATTATGTATCGTCGTCAGCCTCACAGTTTTAAAACGTGTCTGTTAGGGAGAGGTTTCCACACTCTTATAAAGAATATTTCGTTCCTCTCTCCAACTGATGTGGGATCTCAAACATGACCCAATGAGTGGAGGCCTCCCGATTATAAAGAGTACGAATTGGGGAATAGATTTGACTGTTAAATGTACATCACAAGGACTTCTGTTTAAAACTCATCTAGTCACTTCCTTTTGCAATTATCTAAATTTAAGCAACTGGAAGATTGCTTCATGGTTCTTTCCTTAACTATTATGGATTCAAACTTTCCCAGGTAATTTCTTTATCGGATCGGATCGGATGAAGGACAAAAAGAAGGATACTAACGATGAAGACTTTGAGCAATCGGAACTGTCCTATGCTCCTGAAGATGACAGGGACTGCAAAGGTGATGATGCTGATGAAGACATTATATATGCTCATCTGTGCTGAGGCATCGGTTCACTTTCGCAAGGTTCGTCATCGTAACGAGTTCAAGCAACAAATTTACTACCTCTGTCCTTGTACTTAGCTTAGCCTTGATTTTGGATGATATCATTTTGAAGCCCAAATTGTTAGTTGCAGGGCAAGAAGGCACTAAAATATCAGAATGATGCTGCTCAACATTCTCCACTATACCATCCAGAATCTAGGATCATCATCAAAGGTAATATACAGAAATTGCCTATTCTACCCGAAATTAAAATATCGATATCAACAAAAATGTCCCGACAGATACTCGTATTAGTATTTGTCATGATTTAGATGTCTTATCTCTTCGATTTCGATATTGAATCGTGTTCCATTTCGATATTGAATCATGTTCGATTCACAAAAGGGTATTTGTTGAGATGAAATATTGTTCACATCATTGCAACTTGTTCCTTTTTTTTTTTTTTTTTTTTT